TTTTCTATTTGATTTTACTGGACTAAATAGTCTAGCCTAATACCCCTCCAAAAAGTAAACCAATAACCCCAATATTTTATAATAAAGGATAAAGGGTTATTAACTGAAAACAACACCCAACCCAAATATAGACTTAATATTATTAGCCAGCACATAATCATCATTAAAAAGTAAAAGCTAACCTCATAGGACTATGATTGCCGCTTGTTCAAGTGAGATATACAGCCTTTTTCACACGCATAAAAAGAGGAAAATAGAAAAAGAAAAGAAAAAAGAATAAAAAAGTAAGTAACATGCATTCAGGGACTACAACACAACAAATGAGCATTGTGTTAACACCAAGGTCAATTTCCGAGCAGAGGATATCCTTTGAGACCCAAATTGGGGAAGATGAACCTCTAAGAGACAAAATTAGGTAGTCACATAATTAATGTTTAAACATTTCTTATATTGTTTCCTTAATTTCGTCTCCGAGAGACGAACAATCAGGTTAATTAATGTTTAAACATCTCTTATATTTCTTTCTCCTTTGTCACAAACAAAAGAATCAACAAAAGATAAATTATTACTATGTAAACAAAAAAAAATGTTGGAAATGAATCAATAAAACATAAATTATACTATGAAGTTTGGATGAAGAAGAAGTCTTTGGCGTCAAGAGATCTCAGTATGTCTGATCGGTGATACGCCATCCCTGGGATTTAGAAATGGAGGTCCTGAGGAAAGGTGGAGAAAGTGGATGAGGAGTACGTTTAGGTTTTGAGGTGACAAGTTTAGATTAGGAACATGGGGAAAGCAATTAGTTAGATTTTGAGATAGTTGTGGAGATTTGAAAACTTTCCCGATTTGGCCCTCATGAAAGCATTAAATTACTGTAACTTGTATGGAAATTTCTTGGGATTTTTTCAAATTGTGACACACAGGTGCAGAACACCAAAAGATTGAACCAAAAGGCTGCCTTGCTTTTTCTTACTAATAGTAATAGATTATTAAAACCAAAAAGGCTGCCTTGCCTTTTCTTACTAATAGTAATAGATTATTAAATCTTCATCTTTGGCTTCAATAGACCTTATTCCTTCTCCACATCCCTATCTACTTCATGACGTCCATCATCTCCATAATTTCTACTTGGGTACTTTGGATGGAGGCTCATGGTACACCAATGACGAGATAAAAGAATCAAGAGACCATGAGGATGTATGTAAATGATCTTTAAGCATGTCTCGTACACGCTTTTTATGGATGAAGTGGATCTCCTGCTTGAAAATTTTCTAAATGGGAAGTATCGTCAATTCATTTTTAGGCCACACGAATCAATATTCATCCAAAAAGGAGCACAAACACTGAGGTTGATGACGATGAAAAGCCAAAAAGAAAATGTTTATTTTAGTTGCTCAGTAGTCCTTGCTATCCTTGTTGAAAATGACCTTGTATCAAAGATATCGCTCACTGGATGAATCCTGACCTTCCCTTCATTTTGACAATCTTTTTCCCCCTTGTGATCCTTGATCCTCTTGCTGCCAGTCCCAAACAGAACTTATCCTTGGTCAATCTGCAAATTCGATCATTTTAAGCGTATTTGTCATCTCCTCCACATTATGAATATTTTTTTCTTTTCTAATATGGTTATGGGACTATAATCTTATGTTGTCGAAAATGATTATGGAGCACATATTTCTTGTCTTCTCCAGATTTTCATATTTACGGGTAAAACCTCAAATGATTGAATTATGTGGCTATATACCATTATCCTTTTCTTCATGCCAAGCTTATAACTTCATTTCAGGTCAACTTGTTTGCGTGCTCTCTCCTATTTAACACACAACTTCGACAATAAGCTCATAATTGTCTCTATATCTGTGATATCGTATTTGTAGACAAATTTGACCGTGATGTGTAGTTGGATCATGCTTCTGTCTTCACATCCTAGTCCTTAGCATATTTTTCATCTAAACATTGAGAAAATAAATTCAAAATCTAATCTAAGATGTTGGATGATGTTGATGGTAAATACTTAAAAAATTTTATCATGAAAACATTCAATTCTTCATGCTTATATTTCTTTTCACTTCATACTAGATTGGGGTGTACAGGCAACCGTCAGTTGGATGCTTTCACAAAATTTTGGCATCGAAAATGTATCCATTGTGGCTGAAGAAGATGTCCAAACTCTATCCGAAAAAAATTCTGCAGGCTTGCTCGATTCCGTCGTCAGTCTTGTCAACGAGTGCCTCGCTGAAGCTCCCAAATACGGATTACAAGCTCCCCAAAAATCTCTCGGAAGTAGAGAGGTTCTTGATGCTATAAGCAGATGCAACTCCATTGGTGGTCCAAAGGGAAGATTTTGGGCTCTTGACCCTGTAGATGGTACATTAGGCTTTGTTCGTGGAGATCAATACGCTGTTGCTCTTGCGCTAATTGCGGATGGGCAAGTTATTCTTGGTGTTCTTGGATGCCCGAATTATCCAATGAAGAAGCAGTGGCTTAACTATCACCAGCGATATTATAGGCTCATGTCTAAGCTCTCGCCTCCTGCTCCTGGGTCTTGGGACAAAGGATGTGTGTTCTATGCTCAGAGAGGTAGCGGTCAGGCTTGGATGCAACCACTGATTCATGATTATGGGAAGCTTGAAATGGAGAGCTCAGCAACTCCGATTAGGGTTTCATCGATTGATGATCCGGCCTTATCGACGTTTTGTGAACCCGTTGAGAAGACCAATTCGAGCCATTCATTCACCGCTGGTTTGGCTGAAAGTGTTGGCATGAGGTAAGATTAATGTGAATGTTTCCTCCTTTATTTGCTTCTGAGATAATATTATTTTTATCCGAAGTATAAAATTAAAACTATATGGTCTGAGAGTTCTTTCCATCAAGAAATCCCAACATGAAACTATATATGCACATTTGACACTATCTGTCGCAAGTTCATAACAATCTAAAAAACCCCATGAAGCCACATCGGTCGGGACTATACTTAGAGTGAAAGGCTCTTAATAGTGACACTTTCCTTCCACTTATTTGAACCCTAGTAAGCTGGAAAAAGTTCAAACTGACATATATAAGAGAAAAGAATAGATTAGCAACTCTAGAGGATCAACCACATCAAAGTTTGTAAAAACACCTACTTTAAAGTCTATTCTCTTTATGGAAATATATGAGATGCCGGAAATGTAGTTTTAATCATTGTTACTGGATGCTATACATGAATCTCATGCCCCCAATCAATTTTAGACACTGACATCATGCCATATTCCATAAATATGGACAAAAATTATATTCATAGGACGCGACATGCATATTTTTGTGACACGTCTTGATACTTTTCATGGTATTTATTTAACTTGCATAATAACACATCGGACATTAATTTTTATTACCTAGAAACCAAGAGAACATTCAAAGAAAATAGTTATAGGATTTCAAACACTTGCAGAATAAAATTATTTGAAAGTTACATTGATTTGTTATATATAAATGTCAGATTCTACTTATTGAATGAAGAACATGCATCAGTATGTGTAAAGAAAAGGAATTATATTTAGATAAGCTATATTAAATAAATTTCTTCTTTATTTTTCGAGTCACACGCTATAATGGTCTTTCTGTCTGGAACTTGTTTCTTGATTGTACAACCAACCTAAATTTGCTTGAATAAATTTATTGAAACTTGACATATCATGTATATGAAATCCACTATATTATACATATACTTGTGTGCATATTCTCATAACACATTGATATACGTATATACACATCTCATGTTTATTTGAATCTTTATATCTCACATTTGAGCAAACTTCAAAAGATGCATAGTTCTCATATGATTTCTATCGAAAACTCTCATGGTTTCTCAAATTGCAGGAAGCAACCTTTGCGAGTCTACAGCATGGTAAAGTACGCAGCCATAGCCCGCGGTGACGCAGAGATATTCATGAAGTTTGCACGGGCCGGCTACAAGGAGAAGATATGGGACCATGCTGCCGGTGTTGTCATCATACAAGAGGCTGGTGGAGTTGTCACTGATGCAAGAGGCCGCCCGTTGGATTTTTCAAGAGGCGTATACCTAGAAGGTCTCGATCGGGGCATAATAGCTTGCTCCGGTTCAGTACTACACGAGAAGATCATTGGTTCTGTGGATGCCAGCTGGGACTCATCAAATCTCTGATGTCTTCTGTAATCTTCAGACCTCGAGCTTGGTATGTAGTACAGGGAATTTGTAAGTAAATTTCACAGAACTACCATGAATGCATGGGTTTTCAGAGGTTTTGTACAAAATTACCATAAATTATCACAAAGTTTTTAAAAATGCAAAAGTGCAAAAAAGCACCCAAAAAAAGGAAACTATGAAGTGTTTGGGATGAAAGGTTTAAATCATTTATATCTACATGATGTTCATAAGGGTATATGAAAATATATAAAGAAGACAAGGGATTGTCCAAAATATGTCAAGCACAGAGCACATGAAAAATTAGTCAAAAGTTTTCTGTGTATATATAGCCCTTAAATCATGCATATTTGCAAAGTACCCCAAAAATCTTAATCTTTGCTAAACTACCCTCCAAATCATCAAATTTGGAAGCAATGCCCGTGGCCCTAAATCAACCGATCATCGACTTAGTTGGGTATAATGAGTAGAAATTTTACTATGTTGTTGATACGTTTACATTGTAGTTACAAGTTAATTAGCTAATCAAAGTTGGTGATTTGGGGCATTCTCTTCCAAAGTTGATTTAGGGAATAGTGGGGGTTGTTTTGCAAATACACATGATTTAAGGGATATATATACAAAAAAACCTAGTCTAAAACTGCTATCAAACATGGTAATTTTGCGAAAAAAATTCATGACAATATTATTTATTTAAAGAAGTTTATGGTAGCGTTGTGCTAAACACAAAAAAAAATCATGGTCAATTTTGTGAAATTTAATGTTTCTGTGGCGTTGACAATCGGTTATATTTTTGCTTTTTCGATGGTTCAAAAATTCCGCAGGAACTTGCAGAGCACTTCAGGGAGAAATCAAAAGGTTATATCGTATTTCTGGGAAGGACCTTTATACTTGAAAAATAAGATACAGATTAGTATAAATACCGTATCCAAGAAGAGAGAAATGGCCATAACGTGGGCATACTAATACAATTTTTTGTCGGAGCCGATATGTTCGTCAAGAAACTTGTCTACCTGAGAATGTATACACATCATTGTTATTGTTGCAAGTCTGATCAAATTCTTGGTCTACTAAGTTTTGAATATAAATTTTACTAGTTTAGCTTGATTTGTTGATGATCAGTTTCTTTTGCAGTGTATCTATCTAGCATCTTGAGGTATCAAGAAATTTTAGAGCTTGTGTATTTATTGCATTCAACTGTGTAGTATGTGTTAGTCTAAGGGATGTAGACTTAAAACTGGAATCAAACAAATTGTTGGATGACAGGTTTCCTAATCTGTTTTGGTAACATGATTCTTAATCTGTTTTGGTAACAGGTTATTAGGATTCCTAATCCGTTTTGTTTTTTGGTTTTAGAATTCCTAGTCTGTTTTGGTTTTAGGTTTTCTATATATATAGAACGCCTTAAAAGAGATTAGACATCAGAAAACATGGTTTTGAGAGAATTCTTCAGAGAGATCTCAGAAAAATTAGATCCTATTTGTGGGCATTGTAATCTTCTTCAATATTAATCAAAGAATTGTGTGGTGTGGCTCCTGAGGACGTAGGCACGATTGCCGAACCTCGTTAAATCTAGTGTGTTCTTTCTTGTTTACTTTCCTGTAGGTTTTTTATCTTTTATTTGCTGTGTTTTTTCTTACTTTCCTACTCTCAAACACAAGGTCCGGAAGGACAATGGTCCGATTTGATTGTTTCAAATCCCCAACAATTGGTATTAGAGCTTTGTTCAGAAGGATTGTGAGAGAGCCATGACAGAGGAAAACAAAATCTAAGATCGAGAAGTTTGACGGTTCATACTTCACCTATTGGAAGTCGCAGATGGAGGACTATCTGTACCAGAAGGACTTATATCGCCCGTTGATGGACAATGTTAAGGGAAAGAAAAAAGAAGAGTCGGACGAGAATTTGGGGATACTGGATAGGAAGACTCTAGGGAAAATCTGATTGTCGATCGCCAAGACAGTTGCACACAACATATTGAAGGAGAAGCTGACGATGGGGCTTATGGAAGCGCTCATGAAGATGTACGAGCAACCGTCTGCCGCAAACAAGGTGCATCTCGTCAAGACACTCTTCAATCTCAAGATGGCAGAAGGACGCTTCTTCACAATGCACCTCAGCGAGTTCAACACGATTGTTGATCAACTCATCTCCGTAGACATCACGTTTGATGACGAAGTGCAGACCCTATTGATTCTATCGCAGTTGCCGGATAGTTGGGCATGTTATGTGATGGCAATCAACAATTCGGCGGGGAAGGACAAGTTGAAGCTGAGCGATGTTGTTAACATGATTCTATCCGAGAAGGTTAGAAGGAAATCGTCCGAATCAGAAGGTTCTAGTTCAGCCCTAAATCTCGAGCAGAGAGGTAGAAGCCATAAGAAGGGTAATCAGAACAGGAATCGGTCGAAGTCAACCAAGAAGAAGTCAAACTAGAAAGTTAGGCCTATCAAAGGAAAGTGTTGGAACTGCGGCCAGGAGGGTCATATGTCTTTAGCGTGTAAAGAACAAAAGAAAGACGCGAATGAGCATGAGGCTCATCTCGTGCATGATGCATTGATTCTCGCTATGGATAGCGATTCTGATTCTTGGGTCATCGACTCAGGAGCCTCGTTCCACGCCATTGCTAATATGAAGCTTCTTCATAACTATGTAGCAGAGGACTTTGGGAAAGTATACTTGGGGGATAATAAATCCTGTAGTGTTGTTGGAAGAGGAGATGTGCACATACAGTTGAAGGGCTCCAAGTGGAATATGAAGAATGTGAGGCACGTACCGAAGCTGAAGAGGAATCTTATTTTGGTTGGCCAGCTTAGAGCAGAAGGCTATGTTTCGACATTCACCGGGGATTCGTGGAGGATCTCAAACGGTACTATGGTTGTTGCTCGAGGCAACAAAACATGAACTCTCTACCTCACCTCACATGCGAGTGACACCATCATAATTGCAGCTGGCAAAGATAGTACAGATCTGTGACACAATAGATTAGGACACATGATCGAGAAGAGGATAAAGATTCTACATTCATAGGGGAAGCTAACCGGCATCAATTCCGTGAAAGTCGGTGTTTGCGAGGACTGCATCTTTGGGAAGCAGAAGAGAACTAGTTTCCAGAAGGGTGGAAGGCCACCTAAAGCTCAGAAGCTAGAGTTAGTTCATACTAATGTATGGGGTCCAGCTAGCGTGTCTTCTCTTGGCGATTCAGCGTACTATGTCACCTTCATCGACGGTCACTCGAGAAAGGTGTTGATATACTTTATGAAGCACAAGTCAGAGGTGTTCGAGATCTTCAAGAAGTGGAAGACCATGAAGGAGAACAAGACAGATCTGAATATGAAGTGTCTGAGATCAGACAACGGTGGAGAATACGAGCTGGAGGAGTTCATGAGGTTCTGTGCTCTAAATAAGATTTGTTTGGAGAGGACTACTCTAAGGACGCCGCAGCAAAACGACGTTGTAGAGATGATGAACATGACATTGACGGAGCGTGCCAGGAGCATACGATTACATACAGGTCTGCCTAAGATATTTTGGACGAATGCGGTGCATACGTCAGCTTACTTTATTAATCATGGGCCATCAGTTCCATTGGATTACGGGATTCCAGAGGAGGTTTGGAGTGACAAGAAGATCAATCTCTCATATTTGCGAGTATTCGGTTGTGTGGCACATGTTCATATCAATGACCATGTTAGGGACAAGCTAGAGGCTAAGTTACAAAAGTGCACATTCATTGGATACGACATTGATGAGTTCTGGTATCGTCTTTGGAATGAGAAGAACAGGAGGATCATCAGAAGCAGGGATGTGATATTCAATGAGGAGGTGATGTATATGAACATGGATAATGCCAATGATAGCCTAAGCAGTGGGAGCAGCACTACGGATACAGGTGGATCCGAGCACATGGATTTAGAGAAACTTCCAGATAGGGGCGACAAAGTCAATTTTGACCGAAGAACGGAGGAGGCTCCAGGTGCAGAGATGACTACCCAGGGCGTGGAGCTTAGGAGATCATCTAGGGTACCCATACCGATTCCCAGATATCTCTCATCACTTGATTATTTGCTTTTGACAGATAGTGAAGAACCAGAGTGCTATGAGGAGGCTATGCAAGTGAATGAATCTCAGCAGTGGGAGCATGCGATGCAAGAGGAGATGAATTCTCTACATACTAATGAGATATGAGAGTCAGTCTAGCTACCTGCACAAAAGAAAGCCTTGCATAACAAATGAGTCTATCGGGTCAAGCAGGAGAGTAATTAAAATAAGAGATACAAGCCCAGATTAGTCATGAAGGGGTTCCAACAGCAGGAAGGAGTGGACTATACAGAGATATTTTCCCCATGACCATTGACAAACTAAAGTTGGGCGCAACTTCAGTTGGCCTTCACGTGTAGGAGATGAAGGTGAAGTCACACCAAGAGGATCGTCAGGATCGCCGGATTGATGATGATTGAAGAATAGATTTTTTCCGTGTAGGAGGATGCTTGTGAAGAAAGGAGAGTTCGAGTGAGCTCATTGATTGTGCTTTGGTCTCCAAGTGGGAGTTTGTTAGTCTAAAGGATGTAGACTCAAAGCTGGAATCAAACAAATTGTTGGATGACAAGTTTCCTAATCTGTTTTGATAACATGATTCTTAATCTGTTTTGGTAATAGGATTCTTAATCTGTTTTGCTAACAGGTTATTAGGATTTTTAATCTGTTTTGTTTTTTTGTTTTAGAATTCCTAGTCTGTTTTGATTTTAGGTTTTCTATATATATGGAACGACGTAGAAGAGATTAGACATCAGAAAAAGAGGGTTTTGAGAGAATTCTTCAGAGAGATCTCGGAGGGATTAGATCATATTTGTGGACATTGTAATCTTCTTCAATATTAATCAAAGAATTGTGTGGTGTGGCTCCCGAGGACGTACACAATTATTGAACCTCGTTAAATCTGGTGTATTTTTTCTTGCAAGTTTTTTATTTTTTATTTGCTGTGATTTTTTCTACTTTCCTATTCTCAAACACAAGGCCCGGAAGGGCAAGGGTCCGATTTAATTGTTTCGAATCCCAAACAGTATGTGTGTATTATGCGTCATAGCATGGTGGCATTATTCAGGCAAACGCTTGAGGAGATAAAATTAGTAGTTTTCTTCCCTCTTCACTTAACTAATTAGTGAGGATATGATGATATCTGGATGAAAAGTAGTTAAAATTTTGAAAATTCAATTGGTCTTAGATTAAACTTAGATAAGTTTAAGGGTGTTTTCCATAACTTACTGTAAAACCCCAAAAATTTGGAAGATATTGTTATATGGTATTAAATTAATCTTTATGTTGTATAATATTATATTATTTATATAGATATATTTACTATATATACTACGTAGTATAATTATAGTCGGTTTGAATAGAGTAATAATGATATATGATATATATAACCTATATTTTGAACCCCATTTTTCTGGTTCCTTGCCACCTGGGATTATAAAGGATCAGTCGACCGAGTAGGCTCTTCAGCGGAGGCCCGTGGTGGTGTCGCGGGTTTGTTCTTCTGGTCTGTTTTATCATATGCTGGTTATAGGGGAAGATTTATATATTACCAATTTGTAAAATTATATACAATTTGTAAAAAATAGTATAGTAGAATTTCTATGGAGAGTGCTATGGAAGAGGCAACCCCTAAGCTTCCACCTCAAATATCAGCACCCCTAGAATCACATCATTTCCTAAATTTTTTTTACGATCCGCTTCGTTGAACTTGATCTACACGTTCTTAAACCCAAATACACCAATTTTGGGGTGAACCCGTTGTGTTTTGACCATTCGTTAAGCCGTGTAAAAAGTTCTATTCATTCGAAACCGTTAAAATTACAGCGAGTGGATAAAGGGTCAAAACACGACGGGTTCACCCCAAAATTGGTGTGTTTGGGTTTAAGAACGTGTAGATCAAGTTCAACGGAGCGGATCGCAAAAAAAATTTAGGACATGATGTGATTCTAGGCCGCGTCCTTAGGTGGGAGCCTAGGGTGTCACCTTAGATTCACTTTTCCCTATATATATATATATATATATATATTGAGAAAAGTGTTCCTAAGGTGACGCCTTAGATAATCATCTAA